CATATTCGGATACTAGGCGCATTATCAAATTTAATAATTATTGTATCAATCTACAATAAACAAGTACGTGTAAATGATTTAGGTAAAATTAAAATTTAGTTTCATTCTCGAGTTAGAACTATTCTATACTTTAAATTCTCATTTGTATGATCCATAATTTAAGCTAAAATTATTGTAATTAATCGCAAATGTTATGACAAATAAACTTACCGGGTTACGATAATGTAGCCCTGGTTCTTTTTCAGCTTTTTGGATAAGTTTCTTAACGAGTGACATAACTTTGTTAGTTGTAAATAACAGCACAATACTTGCACCAGACCCTACGAAGACAACTTAGCAAGAGTTCAAGTGGATTCAGTAGGTATCAATGCGACAAATTTTGTCAGATTGCAGAAACCTGTTTATTATAGCGCCCCCTATATGTGATAATATAAACTACATTTTTTTTTTTTTTTTTTGTAGTCATGAGGATGACTATTGAGGAACTTTAGATACTAATGCATCATCGGTGATTCTCGGGCAGGTTCACATGGTTGGCTCAACTCCTTTCCAGGTAGACATTCCTAAATTAGCAGTGTTTATATGCTCCAATAAAATCGAACGAAAAATAAAAACATCTTAATCTGAACCAAACCAGTATTCAGATTAATATAAATAATCACAACCACATAAACTCACATACAAAGAGATTCACTAAACGAAAAACCTTCCATTTTCCTAGTCTGAGCTTCATCGAGCATTTTACCTGTTTTCTGGATGGTGATAAAGATTTGGACTTTCAGAAAAGTTTTGATAAGGTGCCACACATGTGTTTAGTTAACAAAACTACATCGGAATAAGACGGATAAATAATAGAAAGTAGACTGTTGGATGAGAGAAAGCGAAATGGTTGTGAAGTTCAGTCAGACTGGGCTCTTACTATTAATGGAGAGTCTTGGGAACCAGTGCTTAGAGCTTTTTTCATATTTATAATATTGATATGTGCATAATTAGAAGTGTTACGACAGCGGTAGTCACGTGACTCTAGTAACACGTCATGAACTTTTAGAAAAATCATGTCCCTTCGTGAAGCCTCGAGCGTTTACTAGATTTTCGGTATTCTTGTATATAATACCGCCAAAAAGTGACGGCAATAATGTAATTGAACTGCAGACAGAGATAGAGACTGACAATTGAGTCGAGCACGTGAGTCATTCGTTGTG